CTGAAAGCCGACACAGGAGTTCACAATGATTCTAATCTGTTAGAAGGCTGCTTGAAGAACCCTTCACCCAGTTATGGTGGAGTGGTAGAATGGCAAAGTTATTTTCTGTTCTTTGCATCAGTAACTTTTGCTGTCTTATACACTTGTGCTGGAAATCATCTCATGAAGATAAGATTAAACCAGGGATATTGATTCTTTGTTCCTCTCTTTGTCTTGGTCAGATCGCCACAGTGCCGCCACTCCTGAGGTTCAGAAAGAGGAGGAGAAGAAGTTCAAGGAAGTGGGAGAGGCCTTCACTGTGCTCTCAGACCCCAAGAAAAAGTCCCGGTATGACAGCGGTCATGACCTGGAAGATGATGGAATAAACATGGGAGGTAAGAATCTGTACCTGCTGTGCCCTGCTCCCATCTCCTGTGCTCTGCGCACGATGGGGTGTTTGCTTGGAGGTCTAAATACTCTTTATTTAAAAAAAAAAAAAAAAGTGTGTTTAAGAAATTTGATTGTATCATGCTGAAGTTTTCTCCAACTTGCTGTTTGAGTTCCTATACTTCAGTGGTTCCCAAACTTTCTCTGCAGGGCCCCCCTTTTCTAGATAGAAACATTATTGAGCCCCCCCATTCAGACTACACAGGTTCAGATTCAAACTTTCCGATGCGTTATCTGCTATTTCTCCCAAATATCACCTAAAGCATTGAGAACTGGTAAAATAAAGTTTAAATAAATTACATAAATGCTGTAATAGTACACGTAAGTTAGTGGTTTATTTATTGTTAGTTACTGTAATGTTGCGCTGCTTTATTTGTTTAATCGTCCAGTCTGTGAAGAGATTATTTTAGGGTGGCACATGCCCCTGAGGCTATCCCATTGGGGCGCCCCTCCGCAATACCTCTGCGCCCCCCAGTTTGGGAACCACTGCTATACTGCAATAAAAATGTCATGTATACAGGCGCTTTCCCGCCGCACCAAGTATGGTACTTTCGTTTTCCCATTGACTTCCAGTCGAGTACCAGTACTGAAAGTACCAAACCAGCTGGGGTACTTCTTTGGTACTTGCGTAGTTTGGGGTGGGACTTGAAATGCTTTATTTGCTGTTCGGTTATGCAAATAGCCTGCCGCTGAAACGCAATACAAACGCTGCCTTGAAAACAGTTGCAAACTCATAAATTAATGATAAATGAAGTAAAAAAAAATTGGGCCGTAAGAATGTTTGCAACAAAGAGAAATTAAAAAGTACTTTGTTGAATATACTAACAGCACACTGTCCGGGCAATGTGATTTTGTTATAAATATAGTGATGTGATTTTGTTGTAATAAATATCGGGGTATTTATAAAACAAAAAAGGTTCATAAATTTCTCACAAACCTGTCTTCGAGTGATTTAAACGGCAAGGATGGAAATGATTACGATTGTATCGGAGAACGTATGCAGCGCTCCTGCAAAATCAGCAGCGGTAAACTTGGCTTGATTGGTAGCACCGCAAACAGCAGGATTTGAAAATCTGCTTGTCAGTTTTTATTTTATGTATTTTATTAGTCTACTTACCAGTGATTATTTCTGCTGCAAGGAATTCCCCTTCAATTAGCTTTTTAAAAAAAAATAAAAAATCGGACAGACGACTAGAAAATCTGCTTCGTTCTCTTTCAGATTTCGATGCCAACAACATCTTCAAGGCTTTCTTTGGAGGCCCTGGAGGATTTAGTTTTGAAAGCAATTCATGTATGTATATCCACGTTTTTGTCTGACATTTATTCTTACTTTCAGTGTTACGCTGATGTATAATACTAATGAATCTTGTCCTTTTTGTACCCCCAGCATCTGGACCAGGAAATTTCTTTTTCCAGTTTGGATAAATTGGGAAATGCCTATGTGCTCACAGTAGCCCTATTATGGACATCATTCAGACCACGCCCCCTGCCCCTCTATTTTATAACAGTCCTAATAAATCAGTTGTGAAAATGAAAAAAAAAGTTTGTGTGAAAAAGGGCATGAAAATGCTTAATTTTTTTATTTTCTCAAGACTGTTGTAATTTGGCTACAAAGATAGCATGATTTCGAATCTTTAAAATTGAGCCTGATATTCAACACAAGAACTAACATCTGTAGTTTTTAAATTATTGTTATTACTACTATTTATTTTTTGGGGTAAGTCATTCATCAGTTATGGAGACAAGTATGCGTCAAAACGGTGACTAAGGTCTATGGACATGTGTTTTTCAGGCTGTTCAGTGTAAACTGCAAGATAACCTTCTGCATTTTCTGGCTGACTTATAAGAGCAGAACAGCCTAGAATCATTATCATTTCATTGGTGCTCAGAAAGATTCTTGCCTAAACAGGTAATATGCAGAGGTAGACATACAGAAAACTTGAATCCTATTTACGACCTTGTGTGTTCAGTGATATTGTAGAAGCACGTCAGCAAGCCTTCGGGGAAGACCGTAGTGACTGGTGTGACGTCATTGGGTTTATAAAGAATAAGTACCAAAAAAAGCAGGAAGTCTTAACCTCATGGCTTTATTAATGTAACTCTCATGTTTAGAAACATGTCTTTTCTGTACATAAACCAGGTAAAGGATACAGTCATGAAGGTACAGCACACATGCGTCTTACGGAGGACATGGCCACTCTTCCCAGTCCTGTTCTTACCTCAGTACTTTATTTCTCTGCAGGTTTATATATCTTATCACTTTTGTGTTATTCATCTCTTGCATTTACTGGAATGTAAGCCGTTGATTTGTATGTATAGTCTGTGGTTATTCATTTTTTAGTTTAGATTTGTATATATAAAATTATATTTTTTGTAAATTCAAACACAAATCTCCACAGGTCTTAAGTGTGGGTGCTTTTCTCGTCCCTGCCGTTTTTAATATTGCAGTTTTTTTCTGGAATGTGAACTGAACTTTTAAATGCCTGCACTGCTTATCCCATTTGTTTATTTTATGCGTTCCATCTTATGAATGGTCTGGGTCTCATTGTAGACTTAAGTCCTGATAGATCGTTGCCTCCATTTTTGTTTCTCAGACACAAGGATCAGTTTGTGGAAGCTAAAACTTTCTCACACCTGTGTGGCTGAAGAATGAATGTTCTTCACTCACTCCAGATCTACGTAACCATTGATGCGTCATGCATGCTTTTGTCAGTTGTACGCTGCGGTGTTTTGTAAAGGGCACCACAGCTGTGACTTACTGTAACTTATCCGCCATATCAGTGAGCTGTTGTTTTTTTTTTTTTTTTTTTTTAGGATTTTTGTGACATTAACCTGTCTGCGTCAGTCACACGTAAATGTGGGGGGGGGGGGAGGGGGAAGCTACACCTCTGAACCCTGTGTAATTTCTCTATATCCGCAGTCTGAATGTGGAGAAAATGTCGCATTGTTATTCACTGATGTACTTATGACCCATCTTTATAATTAAATATACCGCCATAGTCATTTAAAGGAGCTCCTAAGACAACCTTTTTGTTTGGGTAATAGAAAATAAAAATTCATCACTTGATTCAAGTTCCTTTTTCCCCAGTTTTCTTTTGTTTACCCATTTAATGGGATAAAATGGGTAACATCCTTAAATCGTGTGAGTTAACCATTGACTAAACATATGTTTTTATAAGTGTAACGCGATTAATATCGAAATTGGACGTTATGACGTTTCCTTGTATTAATAAGTATAAATTATTTAAAATAGCATTTTATTTCTACTAAATGGGAGAATAACCGCTTGTTCTGGTATGGGCCGCACGAAGTATGGAAGAATACTTTCATAATTAATTTACATAATGTATAAATGACAAAACTGTAAATTAAACTTCCATTTTCAGTTACTTTTTAAGGTGAAAACTACTTTTTAATAACATTGTTGGCAACAACTAAATAAAATACTGTGATTAAGTATACAGCTAACCTATCTACCGTCTTGTATACAATACTTAAATTTGACAAGGTTCGGTCTTTCTATAGCAGTATAAAATCTATGAAAGAGATCAAGCAGCATGACCATGGCATGTAAACCCAGGGCTATAAAGCGTACATTTTTAATTATGATTATATAAATTAGTTCATGTAACCCATACCTGTCAAGTTTTGGATTTGAAAATAAGGGAAATTAACAGGTGTTATGCCGAAAAAGGCATCCCTGCCGTAGAATGCATGCCTGTCTCTAAATGATTGGTCGCTGATCTGAAACGAGTTGAGCTCGAGTAAGGCTACCGTAGTGCTAATCAATAGCCCCAAAACAACAGTAAAACTCTAACCTTAACCCCCAAAAAACCTCTAAAACCCTAACCCCCAAAACACCACTAAAACCCTAACCCTAACCCCTAAAAAAGCCCTGATCCCCAAAAAACCCTTAAAAGCTCAACTCGTCAGAACACCGGCATGCATTGTAAGGCAGGGATGCGTTTTTCGGCGTAACACCTGCATCCACCGCGAGCCATCCCACCACCCCAACCAAGCTCCAGTATCCCTTACATTTTAAGACAGGTGTACAAGAAATCTAAAATAACCACTTGTCATTTACATTTTATTTTCATTACAAAACTCATGTGGCTCTCTGGCATTCACTAATGACTTATTATACAGATTTGTTGCAGACTATGTATCCTTGTTGAAGTCGTCATAGAAGGTGAAAGTAACGTTGTTTTTGGCACACAGCATTACCATTTTAACCTCCGCATTTATGACCTGGTTAATGTTGTAAATGACCTGCAGAATACTGCAGGTGGCGGTTCTCGCGAGGCTACTGACAGTTCAGTTTGGAGAGGCAGAGGAATTTTTTTTAATGATATAATACGGGAGATTTACCGGAAAATACTAATACGAGAGAACGGCGGGAAAGAGGGATAAAATACGGTACTTTCCCGGCCAAAACGGGAGACTTGACAGCTATGATGTAACCAGCATTTTATGTCATTTAATGTGACCATTCAAATGCAATCCCAAATTAATTATTGGTGTAACACGTGCGAGGAAGTAACAAACTAAATGAATTAATTGGAATGACTCGGTGGATCCTATAATGAGGCGAGACTTGAATAATGAGCGGTAATGCAGAGGGTGACTGGTAGGGTACTGGTTCCTGATAGCCCTGCCTCCTTGAGCCCAGTAGGCGGACAGAAGCGCGTCGGTACTTTATTGGGTTGATGCCGGCAGTGGTGGGACTCGTCTGCTGAATCCATCTACAGTCCCTGTAAGTACTGCTTCTCCCTGAAAGCGTCATTTTTACAGTCCGCCCGTATTTTTTTTTTTTTGCTTAGTCCATAAGCTTTAGGTTTTATTATGGCATGAGCTCGTATTTGAATCTGAATTGCACTTCGCGCTGGTGGTTAATCGTTAAGCTCAAGCCTACATCCATTTTCAGTTGAAGTTATTGGCTATAGCGCTTACCAGTAATTTACACCTCACTTGTCATTCCGTTTTTTTGTCACTAAATGCCATTTGGCGCTTACTACGTCCGTAACATGCAAGTTCAGTGTTTGGATTCAGTGATCCCCTACATGTCTGACAAGTTTCTCCTTTATAACACATGGGACCGCTGCTCTGCTTTCTAAGCGTACTGTAAACGTAATATGACTCGCATGAAACTGTGACAACACTGCGTAACCATTTTCCATATGTTTAAGTTAAGTCTAAGACTTTGTCATGGTCTAACAAGTTTTGCAGGGATCTTTGATTTCCACTTATGCTGAGCCTTTTACAGCATGTTGTGGGTTTGTTAGCATTTACTGCAGCTTTGCTGACTTCACTGGATTGTAACTTGGATGGTGTTTACTCTCTGCGGCTGAACCTTCTCCAGAAGTGCTTTTTTTCTTCCAAATCTACTATACAGGGGGAAAAAAAAAGAATGGAGCAGCAATCAGACCAGGCACATCCCGATTGCAAAGAGACGATCCAAACGCAGGCCAAAGTGGAACAACCAGGAGCTGAGGTACAAGCTAAAGTGGAGTTAGAGGAGCAGGTGCTGGTAGGAGAGGAAGTGAAGTTGCCACAGGAAGCAGCTTCCAGTGAGCAGCTGGGTGAGGAGCGAAAGGATGAAGCGCAGAAAATGGGAAATGTGGATGTGATGCCTGAGAGAAATGAAGAACATGAGGCACCTGGACAGTCAAATGTGGGAATGGGAGAACAGGCAATGTCAGAATCTGTGATCCCGGAAAGCAAACCTGAGGACGCCGACCCTCCTGTTGCAGCTGGCTCGCTTGCATTTGCTTTTCTGCAGGATGAGCGGACTAAGGCAGTCCTGCGCGAGTCCCGCACCCTTCTCATTCTTCGGGGTCTTCCTGGAAGTGGCAAGACCCGTCTCGCCACTGCAATTAAGGATGTTTATGAGGGTGCCTGTTCTGTCATCAGTGCTGATGAAAATGTGAAGCCTGAGAACAACGTATCGGGAGAGGGGCACAAGGCCCTGGATGAAGCCATACAAGCAAGGTGCATGTCCGGCACACCAGTGGTGGTGGTTGATGACGCCAACGACACGCATGATAGGTTAGCCTGGCTAGGTCAACATGCAGAGCTGCACCTGTACTGTACTCTGTTCCTGGAACCTCTGACTGAGTGGAGTAGAGACCCTGAGAAACTAGTCCAGAAGAGTAAGCAGGGACTGGAGAAAGACAAGATCCAAGCTTTGAAAGTTGTGCTTGAGGCGACTTCTATACCCCTTTTCTTTGGCTGGTTCCTGGTATCGAAATCCCAGGAACACATGAAAACAATGAAGGTTGACTTTCTCAAGACCTTGGTTAGCTTGGATGCCTTCAAGAATCATGCTAGTGATTGTAAGTATTTGGAGGTGTAGCTTTCACCATAGGGAGGCTTTCTGTGGGTTAAAGCGGGAAAGGCTGCAAAATGAGTATTTAATCTTTAAAAATTCCAGAATCAACTTGCTTTTGTAGATGGGGAAGCTGAGAAGGAGGTTAACCTGGAGGAATACTTTCACCGCGAAGGGGTGTTTCATTGTACTACGAAGTTCTGTGACTATGGGAAAGCTGAAGGAGCCAAGGAATATGCAGAGAAGCAGGTAGGTGAAAGCACCAGTGCTCACCAGTATCTTAATCTTTCATGAATTGATTCATAAATTACCAGTGTACTGCTAAACTTGTCTCTCTCCCTGCAGTCTGTGAAGGAGTCCTACGGCCGCGTATCAGAACTGGTACTGAGCACCCTGTTTGTCACTCCTCGTACTGTCGGTGCCAGGGTGTCCCTTACAGAAGATCAGCTGCAGCTGTGGCCCAGCAACACCAAACAAGATGCCACATCTGACATGGGCATGGCCCGGGGCAGTCATGCCCACGTCATGTTGGGCTGCGCTGAGGGTGTGGGGCCGGTGCAGACAGGCCTAGACCTGCTGGAGTTGGTTCAGATGGAGCAGGAGAGTCAAACTAGAGATCTTGTGCAGGACCTGGAGCTTGGGTCGCTCACCTATTACGGCAAAGGCATGTGGGCCCTGAGCTTGCGTGAGCCCTTCCTGGCTACTGCTTGCTTCTCTAGCTATTATGGCCACTGGGAGGAGAAGGAGACAGAGAAGAAAAAGAGATCTAAGTGCACAGTTCACTGAAGCAGTGATTTACTCGTTTTCATCTTTGTGGTGACCATGGTGGCTAAGCTGGCCCTGAAACCATTCTGAGAACCACACACTAGTCCATCTTGTGCTCTGTCCCACTTGTATGGTTGAGGTTAACTGGAGGTGTTTCCATCAAAGCTATCCATGGTAATGTGGGAGCCTTGCTTCTATTGAAACCGTTGCATGCTGGTTGTATTGCAAAACTGCATTGTTGGAACATAATGTGAGTTTTGCACTGGTGGCGGTTCTGGGCCTTGCATCAGTTTAGCAGTGTGATGGCAGAGCACAATACTCACAGGGTGAGATGAAGGGTTTTCACTGCTTTGAAGTTCTAGTGTATTCCAAGAGGCTGTTTCAAGTGTTAGATGACGGTTCTACTTGAGTGTCTTTAAATCTGCATATTTTATGCTTTCACTTTGTGACCCACTCTAGCAGTGCAGCACTTAAATTCATATGTAACAAATAGCTTTTGTACTTCAAATAAAATCTGTGACTGGCTATGAGGGTGTAGTGGTCATTTCCCCCCCAAGTAATGATATGGGACAAGTCTTCATTTACATGTGGTACATCATTATGGAGAAAATGATTTATCACCCGTAGGGGCACATTGAGCCTCTTGCATCTCTCCAGAAGCACAGAGCATGAGACAAGGGGTACTGGGTAGGATGCTCGGTTATCACAAGACATGCACACTGAAACATCCACTAACGGTAACTGGGAAGCCCCTGTTCATTTAAACTGTGGCCATGGGGAAAATTATAGGCTGTGCCTGCATAACTGGGACAATCTTAGTAATTCTGGAGGGTTAAGACCATAGTTTGAAGACCTCACCTGGGGCTGAGCCTTGAAGTTCTGCCTCCCTAGACTCCTTGCTATTGAGCAAACACTGGATATCTGTTGCCCACTAAGTGACCCACCTGCTGGATGTTGTGTTGATGAGCATTATACTCATGAAATCCAAAACATGAATTGCAGATCTTTCAGCCACATTCACTTTGGACTTAATTCATTATGGGTGTTTTGTTCTTGTTTCATGTTTATTTTTCCAATATACCAGTGCTGCCCATAGGAGGATGGGGCTCCCCTCCAAATGTACTAAAATCTGCATCTCGTAAATACATCCGAAGGAAGAAGCACTTTTTTTTGGGGGGGGGTTGGAGTAATCATTGGTAATTTACATCTGATGCCTCATAAAATATAATTTGTCACCTTGACCAAGCAAAAGCAGCATAGGACAGGACTCAGAAAAGCAACCTTTCATAAGCAACTCTGGCACTGAAACTTAAGTTTCTTCCGCAGTAGGATTTTTAAAGCTTGCTTACGAAGTTTAGCCAGTAGATGGCGCCACCTACTATCCAATCCATTTTCACTGCAAAGCAATCTCTTTTGTGCACACTTCTTCTCAGTGTTTCCACACTTCGCTTTCCTAGTCCACAGCTTGCAATCTGCGACATTAGGGAGCTACCACCGAACGTGATAAAAAGCTGTGCCATACTATGCCAGGGATTTGTAAGTGCCAAATTGCAACACCATCGTTACCTTCCTGTAGTCTTCACCAAAACATAAGGATCCATAGAATTTGGGAACAGCTACAGTGGAGCTGCCCTAATTAGTTTATAACTCTGTGGTTAACACTGTCTAAAATTTAGTAAGTAAAAGTAAGTAACATTTATTTATAAAGCAGATTTAAACACAGCTATTACTGTCCAAAGTGCTGTACATCAATAAATAATAAAATAATAAAAATTACAAAAAAGACTAATTAAATAAATGCATGTTAAAACAAGTAGAACAGATCCTACAAGAATAGACACACTAGGACACAAGAAATGAGAGAATTGGGGCTATAGAAATACCTGTGAATAGAGGTGTGTTTTTAATCTAGATTTAAAGACGGGAACAGAGGGGGCACATCTAATGTCTGAGGGTAACTGGTTCCATAGGCGAGGAGCAGCCACAGCAAAGGCCCTATCACCTTTCTGTTTCAGACGTGACCGTGGCACATATAGAAGTCCTGTGTTAGAGGACCTAAGAGACCTAGGGACTGAATAAGGCTGGAAAAGCTCAATAATGTAAGCAGGGCCCTGCCCATTTAAAACTATAAAAACAATGAGTAAGACTTTAAATTGAATTCTAAAATGGATGGGGAGCCAATGCAGGGAAGCCAAAACAGGGTGAAATAAAGTGATTCTGGTTCTGAGCACCTTGCTGATTTTAATTGCTGGAGCTACTGCACTTTCTGTCTATCTCCTATGTTTCGGAAGGTTGATATAATCAATCTAAGCCACATAGTCTGCACCCCAAACAGAGCTTACTTTACATGGCTTTGTATGCTGAAGATGTATAGAAGAGTGGCTTGGGTGGGAGACTCAGCTAGTGTCGTCTACATCCATGTCAAGGGCCCACGCTACCAGCACTCCTGCCTCTGGGTTCATACAGTGCACTGCGGGCAGAATAGAGGTTGGGAGTAATACATGTTTGACTGGGATTTGTGGTGAGGGTTATGGGGGAGGGGTGGTAATCACTAGAGGGATGAGAATAAGGGATAAGAAAAGAGACAACATGAGGGGTTCGGGGTAGGGGTTGGGGAACCAGATGGCTTGGTGCCCTCAAACCTATTTTCATTGTTCAAGAACATGTTCATGTCATTCATATTCAGAATGTGTTGTTGCATGCAAAACCAATAGCAGCACTCGATGGCAGTATACAAACAATGTATTTCAATATACTATATACTTTAAATGCAAATATACCTTAAATAGTATGAGCGAATAGTTTGAAATGACCAAACTGCTACTTAAACACAACACATATAAAACCACTTTCCCTTGCCCTGCTAGCTAGAATAGTCACTCCCCCCACCTCACCCCTCGTGCATCTTTGCCAAGCCGTCCGATGGCTGGCGAGTACGTCATGACGCCATTCACGCATGGCAGCGCGTGCACCAATGGCGAGCGCCGGAGCCGCGAGCTCCGCTGATGAGGAGACAGAAGAAATCGCCGAGTCAAAGGCACGGGAAGGCTAGAGGGTGGGACCTGCCACAGCCGCCTTTATTACGAGCCCCACACGCCGGAACACACAGCAACACAGACGTTTGGAGGGACATTGTGCGATTGCCGGAGTCCCGTATACGTGAAGGTGAGATTTAAACGCGACCCGGATATTATCATTGGAACATGCGGTGGAAAACCCCTATGGAGGCAAAGCACCCGGGAGATCAGTCTGCCTATGTTTCGGGTTAGCTAGCCAGCTCGAACTATATTCATTTCTAGGTCTAAGTTTATATTTATATATATTTGTCCACTTATTCTCTTTAATTTCGCTGTGCGTCAGCAGCAGGCTAAGTCCAGGTAAGCCTAACTTCTGCTTCGCTGGGCGCTGAAGCTGCGTATTTCCCGGAGTGTCAGTTCGGTCTGAAGTGCTGCATATGTCCTTACACAGCAAAATCATCGGGCTAACGGAATTACTAGCGCAAAGCTCACGGACATCTGTTTTTGTTATCGGTTTTGTTGTTGTAAACAATGTGTTGCGACGTGGGCACATACAGCACATCCTAAGTCTGTCATATTTTGGATAAACCCCTGTGGCCGTGTGAAAGATTTAGGTTGCATCACCCACCACCTCTCTGAGTGTTTATGTTACTCGTTTAGGGGAAAAACGGATTCACATATCAGTTTAAACTTTAAAGCATCGAATTGACCTTACTGAGATGTTGGAGAAGATGATGCAAGGATCTTGTTTAAACTGCATGTATTGTATCTATACACGACATTATGTTTTTAGGCAACACATATAGTTTGTAGATTTTGATAATTAATTTGGCCACGGATTTTCTTTTTACTTTACAGTTAATTGTATCTATACTGATGTTTTTACGACTCGTATTTAGACAAGGATAAATACTTGTGTTGGGGGTTATGAGGTGTGGTTACAAACGTGAAGAGATGACACTGAATCAGATTGTATGAGAATAACCAGCTTAGCAGGTCAGTCAACATAAACTGGTCTCTTCCGAAAGATTGTTGTCATTGTCAGTGTTAAAGAATTTCAAGTTTTCTGAGGTAACTTGTGATGCAGACTTCCTATTGTCCCTTTCAGTTTATTTTATAACACTCCATCCATGTTATCTTGAACACACTTTTAACAAGCCCAGGAAACAGTTAAACTCTGAACCTCATTTTCACTTGCTGCCAAGAAGGAAGTTATTTAATTATTTCTTTCCTGGAGTCCTTTTCTTGTAAAAGTCTTTTTATAAATATTGGGCAGAGCACAAGTCCTTTGTAATCCATGGTGGGGGTTTGGTTTGTGGGGGCTTGCTGTGAGATGCATACCAGTGTGTCTTGTATTGTTCAATTTGTACACATGGAAGGCATTTCTTAGAGATGGAAAGGACAGTAAGGTGCAGCACACTAATCTGTCCTGCAGTGCTGACTGGAGATCAAGTTTTGCATGTCAAACTTAATCTCTTTTCAGTGTATATTAATCAACTTTTAAAATCTATTTTTTTTTATGTGACAAAGGGACTTAATTGTTGAATAAGTTGTGGTGAACAACATCTCCAGGAAGGGAAATTAGGTTTTCTTCAATTCAGATAGAGGTTGTACGACCTTTGTAATTCAGTACGCGTTCAATTTTTAATGACGTTGCTCTTGGTTACCTGAAATGCGATGGCCTAAACTGCACATGGTTTCCGAGACCCATCCCAGCTCACTCTTACTCTGTGATGTTTGCTTATGTAGTGTGTTCTTAGTACACATCCTGTCTGATGGGGTGTGGTAATGCTATATGGATACTGTCCTGTGTATCCTGTTCCTGTCTCATCTAAGCAGTGATCGATGATGTCATGAGTCACTGATGATGTCACTGTGCATCTCTGACCATGGTTATGAAGTTCAGTTATGGTGAGCTTTCTTTTCCACTTCAGGATTTAGCTGGTCTCTTTTGGCCTACACTGTCATGAAAATGGGAGTGATTTAGAGACTTTTTCCAATACCTGTGTTGACAGAACGTAGGTCACAGTAATAAAACCTGGTCTTCCATATTGTTCAGTACTGTGCTAATTGCATGATGATGGCAACAGCTGGTGAATATCCTTCACTGTGACGCCAACCTCACTTCTTGTGATGTTCACGTACTGGACATGTACTCATTTAGTGCAATTGTGTAATTCTGTCTCCTTCTAATCAGATGCTGCTGATGATACTGTTTGTGCAGGCCTAACTGTCGACACCACTTTTGAATTAATTGGTTTTAGGGTGTGTTCACACTTAGCTCGAAATAGCCAATTTCAGTGGGCTCTGTGCGTTTTTCACATGAAACGAGCTGAAAGTGTTCCAAACTCAGACCACCTCGGAGTTTTGAGTCCACTTAGCAGGTTTGTTTGCTGATGATATGTGAACAAAAAGTCCGGCCTGCTTGCTTTGCTCTACTTTAGGGTTTTTGGGTACCATATCATGCTAATGTCAAAACAGCTGTCAAATAATTGTCATGAATTAGATTACACTCATTTATAGAGCTGGGAAATTTATTGCGTTAATGTGCAGTATTTCGTTACCCTAATGGGAAAAAATATAAGCATAGATTTTATCAGAGACCTATAATTTTTTCCATTGCACAGAATCCCATTATTTTGAGCTAAAATCTGATATTTCAGTTATCTTATGGGGAAGTTGATGTTGCTTGGTTTACTTCATTAAAAAAAAAAATAAAAAATAGGTGAGGGAGTCATTCATAAGAAAAGAAAATCGTAATATGCAGCATTTGTTGTACAGACCCTCCTCTACTTACAAACTTTCAACTTACGAAATTTCAGACATACGAATGAAGAGAACTGTATGTCCAAATTGTGCTTGTGGGGCTCCCGTTTCCTGTCCGCAACATCAATTTTTTTTCTGCGCGCCAATTCCGCCTAGCCTGAGTAGTGTAAAAGGCCCAAAATCTTTCACTAACATGTTGTTTATGTTGTTAGCAGACAGATCGCTTACATGCCAAATTCGCAATCAGAATCTAACAATTGCAGAAAATAAAATTGTCATATTACACAGCCTTGTATGCAAGGACAACGTGAGCCCCTAGTGATTGTGACCTTGTTTAATGAGGAAACTAACTGCGCAAAGTCGTGCATTTTTTATCTAGACGTCTGACAAATTGTTCGAATCTCCGCTCTCAAATGCAAAAAAGTTGCACAGAAGGACCATTGTCAGCATCAGCTCAAGTAAATGGTAACAACGCTTTCGAACAAACACTTTTCTCCGCCATGCATTGTTCTTAGCAGCTCTGTGTCTCTGAGGACGGTGCTGTCTGTGATCAGGGCAGAGTAACGCAACTCTCACACACGCTGCAGTGTTTGAGAGAGCTGCCTGCTCCGCCACACACACAGAGTGAAACTCTTCGACACAAGAAAAAAAACAGAACTGATAACATTGGGATGACTTGGTAAAAATTAAAATTTTAACATTTAAAATGATTTTTAACGATTAAAAAATGTCTGTGAGCCCACCAACAAGCTCTGTCAGAATCAATGATCCTTAATGTTACCTGTAAGCTACAGTTGGTTGAAGGCTCATTATCATTACGGCAGTTCCTGACAGTGTAATTCACATTCTGTTTCAAAAGCGCTCGCGTTTTCTTTTAAAGCAATATTTCATAACAAACCAGCTAAATAAATAGGTCTTTGAAAGATCAGAATTTAAGCCTTACAGTTTTTTCTCAGGACTCTTCCAAAACTTCTTACTGGGGTCCTGCACAAGGCAGCATGGGTCATGTGTTCCACAGCAACAATAACATTGGGCTGCCTGCAGACGTGCCTGTCTGTAAATCGGCGTACTACACTCAGATATCGGCCAATGCCAATACATTAAAAAATGCCAAATATCAGCCAGATATATCGGCCGGCCGATATATTGGTTGACCACTACTAGAAGGTGAAGCAGGTCCTTTTGTAAGGTGGTGGGCAATGTGAATCCAAGGAGAACTAGAGTTCTTTCTCTTTGCCCACTTTCTGGTTCACTTAAGGGACACTGAGTTTGGTTAACACCCTTAGTTTATTTAGGGGTGGTACAGTGGCTTTGTGGGTATCTCGGTGTGTAATACCATGATGCCCCTCTTCCAGCCCACCTTTGCATGTGGGCGTCCCTGTCCCATTTTTCGTAGGTGCCCTTGGTCTATAATTTTATTTACTCATGTATTTTTGTTTGTCTTTTCTGTCCTGTGAAACTTAACTGGGTCAAAGTGCACCCCCTGCTTCCACAGACTTACCTTGCATTGGATCTAGAGTTATAGAAAATCGATATAATTTACCAGTCTGTAAATTTTTATCTCGCCAGAGTCTCTCTGAAGGCAGACATGGAACAGTGTGGACCACTTTTCACATAAATGAAACAATGAACATAGTACACATTTTATTGGCGCCGATCAGCATGGGTTAAATGTGCCAGAATGCAGGAGAGGCGTGCCGGGTGGATGCTGCGGAGCACAAAGGCTTCTCTGTGAACTAGGTTGTGTGTGTGGGACGGGAAACCAGGATGGTGCAGCTTTTCATTCTGTGTTGAAGGGAAAAACATGATTTGCCAGCCTGAAATCCAAGGGCCTAAGTGCAAGCATGCAGCCTCCTCAAAAACACGTGAGGAAGACCAATGCTTAAATTATGTTTACGTGGGAGGTTTAGTCTAGCTTTTAATGTTGAGGGGAAACCAGCATTTCCTGCTGCTTTATGAACCCATTTGGTTGTGTTTCCTATTGATATTGTATGTTTTCCTTTCACACAAATCGACATTAACATGTCAAGCAAGAGACTATATATTGCTCTATTAGAGATCATGCACTTGAATATGGAGCTTGAATTAAATACTAAACAAGCCAGATACAGTATACAGCAAAAATGGATACAACTCACTTCAATATCATTAAGATGTTAGTAAATTATAAATCCATTCAGTTTACTACATATTAACATAAAATGACAGTTTCAGGTCACTTTAGCATGGATGATGCCAAATTGCCAATGTAGCACAAATCTGAGGAGAGGGGTTCTGCCATTCTTCACAGGCCATTCTTTTGAACTCCCCTTCTGGAAGGTTTGCACTTTTCCTACTGTGCTTTTCCTCTATCTGTAGGATTCAGGTCTGGGGATATACTTGGCCAGATGATTGTTTTCATTTTCTTTATTAAAGACTTGTGTGCTTTTTTTTAAAAACTTTGTTTAGGATCATTGTCATATTCCTGTGTCTTGAGATTGGGAATAAGCTTTTCATTTAGTACTTTGGTGTGCACACTGGTGTTCATGATGCCACCTATAAATGTAATTTCTTCTGTTTGATAAATGCACGCTGCCCCTTTGTTATTGTTATGC